ATGTTGCTTTGACAGAAATAACTGACAAAAGTATATTTTTACATTGTCGATCGTTCCTGTTATTTATGGCGTGTTCAATAATTACAAAATGAGAGGAGATTCGCACTGTTTTCCAAATTAAATATTTCATAAGTCACAATTCCATTTACGGATGCGTAGGAAATGTCGCTTCCGTTTCAATCAAATGGAAATATCGATCTTTAAATTTAGCAAGGAATAGTACTACAACATTTAAATTATCCAGATATTATTCGTCATTGAAAACAAGTATCTTTGTATTGAAAGATAGAAACATACCCTTTGATATAGCAAATAATAAAACAGACTGATAGTTAATTCATTTTTATGGAATAATTAAACGTATAGATGGCAATTCAGGAAACGGACACTTGTCCCGCCTGTATGACTCACAGTGATATTAGCACGCATAAAAAGGACTCTTGTGCAGTTTGAGTCAAATAATTAGTTTTGCAACCATGCTGTAATATTTAGATTGAAGCAAGTGTGACTTAAACATCGCAAGTTCGATTACTTTGTATGTATGTATGTATGTATGTATGTATGTATGTATGTATGTATGTATGTATGTATGTATGTATGTATGTATGTATGTATGTATGTGTGTGTGTGTGTGTGTGTGTGTGTGTGTGTGTGTGTGTGTGTGTGCGTGCGTGCGTGCGTGCGTGCGTGCGTACGTACGTACGTACGTACGTACGTACGTACGTACGTACGTACGTACGTATGTATGTATGTATGTATGTATGTATGTATGTATGTATTCATTTCGAATGTTAAAACAGTATTCCCCTACCATAGCTGTTGTTTATAAACACGCCCAGTTTGCAGTCCCTACCCCTTGCTGTTGTATTCATCAATTTAAAATGTATAACCAGAATCATTCATATTTTATTCGGTAATATTGAAATGCTGTAGTATTATTGAACTGCTTAATTTTTTATAAAATCCTTTTTTGGATTATTTATGAATTTATATCAGCTCTTTTTTCTTAAGTTCGCAAGACGTGTTTATCTCTGAAATTTTCCTTGTTGCATCTTGTTGAATTCCCTCAGTGACATATTAGATTATTTTAGGGGTTGCTTCTTATCCATTTGAATCATAATCCGTTATATCCATCATAATATTTTACTGCAGGAAAAGAACATGCGCAGGAATGGTTTGCTGTTTTCAACCATGGATTCAATTCCTGTTGTGGCAGTCAACATTGCCGTCTAGCATAATAAATTTGCGGTCAAGCTGCAACTAAGTGGTTTTGCATTTCTATTAATTTTTTAATTAACTATTCTTGATTTTTAATCCCTTCTTGAAGTTTTCCTATTTTTTTTCAAACGGGCTTTTAAATCACTTCCTGAAAAAATTTGTAACTCATTCTAGAAGGTGTTAACATGTATCCTGTTAATTAACAGTAATATTAGCTGTACATTTTCACTCAACAGATTCCATGCATTTGATTAAATCTTCATTTCTTTTCTTATAGATTTAGACCCTAAAGTACGTCTCTTCTAGACATTTCCATATGAAATATCCAATAGGTTATTTTGGAACTGTCTCCTTTTTATGAAACTACACATAGACGAGAAAATTGGTTGTCAGTTCCGTCTGCATATCTGCAATGAAAGCCGACATGTCTATCATACGTGTTAGTTTCCTCAATATTAAACGACTTTGACTTTTGTCTCATGAAGAGTCTACGAAAGATTGTACGCAAACAGTTCGATCGAATAAGTCCAAGAAAACAAGTAACGAGTAGTTTTAATGAATCAACGGATAAAGTGGGGCACATAGGTTAGCTCGTGTCCTTTCGTCCGTTCGATCCTAAGCACATCCAGCATCCAGAACCAACCGTAGAATAAGCCAAGTGATGTATGCTAGTTATAACATATAGGGATGACCACATGTGTTATCTCATGCATTTCATCAATATTCTTTCTGAGATTAGCAAACGATTTAGTGAAACGGCTTCCATCCCAGGCGTAAAATTCATAATACAACAACAATAGCACTACCAGAGACCTACAACAGGTCTTGTAAATCTCTATTACTACTAATCTATGCAGTGTTTGCTGGTGAATTCACAAATTTTCCATGATTATATATTAAATTTATGATTTCTTTCCATAATAAATATTCTGCTCTGATTAGATTGTACTATAATTCATAGGTTTATGATACATATTGATCAAGACAGCATGAACCGATATATGCTTAACACTTCACAATGACTTAAATAATTACACTGAACATGTTTTAGATTAAGGGTTCCACTAATGATTCAACAATGGCAATATATTCATAAAATGTTAGTTTTGTGCACAAGTCGGATATAGTGATCCGATTGTTTGACGTTCTAGATCAATGGTACACGGTTATAACTCTAATTATCATTTCATAAGCGTATATATCACAAACGCTAAGCCTCTTCAAACAATATACTTGCCAGATTAACGCGCGACCTTCCGCACGTCTTAATTGCTAATCATCTTTGGAATACTCTTTGGCTTGTAGTTATTATCATCCTGAATACTGCCGATACCTCTAGTTCATGTAACCGTTTGATCTACAGTAGCTTGGTTACCTACAGTTTTCCTCCGACGTCCTCGCTAATTTGAATCTTTATCAGTTTATAGCTTTCTATTACGAAACTGTAAACCATCCGAATATTTACAGTTGTATGGTTATGATTCGATTCCTTATGATTGACTTACGTTAAATATTTTACATTTACATTGTTAATGAAAGAGTCATGACATATACAGCAACAAAATCGACTTTCATATATTTGAAAAAAGACACAAACATATGTATGTATGTATGTATGTATGTATGTATGTATGTATGTATGTATGTATGTATGTATGTATGTATGTATGTATGTATGTATGTATGTATGTATGTATGTATGTATGTATGTATGTATGTATGTATGTATGTATGTATGTAAGCATGCACATATGTGAATATATATATATATATATATATAAGCAAAGAGATTGTCCTAGACAAGTCTAGCTAGCGTCATGCTCTAATCACTTGTCTGAAAGCCAGCGAGGATAAATTTTGACTGATCGCTTGACTGCTCGCTGATGAAGAAAGATCTCAAAGGAAGGGGAAGCAGTTCCAACCCAGACCAGACTTAACTTTCAAGTGCAGCAACTGAAGCAAGGATTGCCACTCCCGTGTGGGGGCTCCATAGCCACAGAAGACGCTGCACAGCTACAAACTGGACACCTCCCATGGGCGCATTTCTATCGTCTCTCGAGACTAACGGATGCCAACAACGACGATATATATATATATATATATATATATATATATATATATATATATATATATATATATATATATATATATATATATATATATATATATATATATATATATGTATATATATATATATATATATATATATATATATATATATATATATATATTTATATATATATATATATATATATATATATATATATATATATATATTTGCAATTCGAGAACATACATATTGCTGATTGAGGTAACGAAGAAACTAAAGTGATAAGAAAACGCATTACGTGATGAAACTGTTTTTGCTTAATTTACCAAACCCTTAATGGTTTTTTTATTATCATAGATGTATTGCCAGTTGCATATGAATATGTATTTGAAATGCTTGTCTTTCTAATACAGTATCGTAAGTTTTTTCTGTTCAACTAGGTCATGAAAAAGCTATACATTTAAAAACGGTTATTTTCATATGGCATTTATTGACGCATGTTAAAAGCAATTTCTTAAAATATTTTCATGAAAAGTGACGAATTGCTTTTAATGGTTGAATTGATAATGGAGCTAATGCGTTTAAATTAGCTCAGTTCCACATGATCTAGTGCATTTGCTTCCATTCTGTGTTTGCAATCTGAGGGCAAATTTAATTTAGGAAAGGAAAGAAGTAAGGAAGTAATAACGAGACTCGAATAATTTTTCTGAACATATAAAGACTTTTCACAGTTACTGCTGAAAATGTTAGAAATGTCCTATATGTTTCCATGTTAGAAATGTCCTATATGTTTCCATGTTAGATATGTCCTATATTTTTCCATGTTAGAAATGTCCTATATGTTTCCATGTTAGAAATTTCCTATATGTTTCCATGTTAGAAATGTCCTATATGGTTCCATGTTAGAAATGTCCTATATGTTTCCATGTTAGAAATGTCCTATATGTTTCCATATAAGAACCGAAATAAACTTTTTTTTGTGTCCTCCCTGAACTAATTGTGTCATTCTTTATTGCCATGTCGATTTTATACCGCTCTAGATGCATTTGGAAAATCATACCGATAGAGAAGAAGGTATGGGACATTTTATTTATGTTACTATAAAATTTAAGGGAAACAAAAGAGTATTTGACTTGAAATCGAAAAAGCTGTTGTCAAGGTGAGAAGCTGCCGCTCTCATTTAGTGTTGAAATATGTTGAAAACATAATTTTGTTAAAAAAATATATACGCCAGTCTATATTCCATGGCGACTAAGCACACATCACCAAAAAAAGATGCATCTGAGTCCGTGTCATATACATTCGTGTGTAAAAGAAACACTGGCATTACGACCTAGTACCTAATTCTCATCTATCTATATGTGAAAGAAATCAAGGTATATATAATAATTATTGAGAATTATAAATATATACCGAACATAATGGATCTGGGTTCGAATCTCCCTAGAATAAGAAAATTCTTTAATCTGTTGGATAGTATTATTTGTATAAAATGTTAATTTCGTCTATTATCAAGCATTCTCCTATAAAATCCAGGGTAACACTTTCCCTTCTATTTGATTAACACTTTCCCTTCTATTTGGTCTCTCTCTCTCTCTCTCTCTCTCTCTCTCTCTCTCTCTCTCTCTCTCTCTCTCTCTCTCAATGTAACCATTGGAATAAGACATACACCTGCTCACCATGTATTATAGTGATTGATGACTTTCATATCATTTGCTAAATATTCATCGCCAACACTGTGGTCTAGTGGTGAGAGTGTCCGCCTTGGATGCGGGTGGTATTGGGTTCGATCATCGGTCGAGTTATACTAAAGCATACAAATGGTACTAACATCTGCCTCACTTGGCGCTCAGCATTAGGACGTTAGTGTTAGGGCTTGTAGGCCTGGTGTCACGATATTGTACCTGCATGGGTCATCCATCATGCTACATGTATGTGGCTTGATGCCCCAGTACTAGACATCCCTATAAATTGTCACACTGCAGACATCGTAGCTACGTTAAAAGTCCAGATCTCACCCCCACATCGCACACATAGGCTACACCTTCCATTAGCTGCCTTTAAACATCTGCCGAGCATTAGGAGTAGGTAAAGTTTCTTAGTTAAGTCCCATCATAAAGCAAACGACTTTTTCTGTTGAAATATACACAAGCACCATTTATTATTTGAAGGAATTGTTTGGTGTATAATGTGGATGGTGCAAAGAAAATAGTTCCTTAGTCTTTTATCATGATCGGTCTCAAATTATGACGAAATCATTATAGTTATGACCTTGTTTCTTATAGTTTTGTTTGCTGTTTGTTTTTGGTACTGTTATATTCGCTTTGAGTCTTATAAATTCCATATTTCTATCATGTTATAATGAATGTAAGCTTGATAGACATCCAATTTTCAACTCTCTCTCTCTCTCTCTCTCTCTCTCTCTCTCTCTCTCTCTCTCTCTCTCTCTCTCTCTCTCTCTCTCCATTGTGATTAATTTATTAACTAGAATCCATTATGATTTATTTTTAATTTTGAAATTGCCATATGTTGATACCAAAGTGATCCTCTAAACATTGATGTTTTGTTTATTTCAGATATGTTTTATAAGCCAGATTATTTGTTATCTTTCTTGGCTGTAATCGTTAAAATTAATATTTCTTTGAAATTAAATGCATAAGTCGTGTAAACTAAACACGAGTCAGAATGCATAATAGAGCATCTGTTTGCATAAGTGACGTGTTGACTAGACACTCCATCCCACACCTTTTTTACCATGGCTTTATACATGGCACATGTATGTATTTTGCTGTATCTTCTATTAATGTATTATTGATTGCAATTATTGCGCAGTTAGCTGTAGCACCGATACCTACTGTACGTTAGGAAATAACGGCACGTAAGGTAATCTAAGTACCAGCTCTGTATGTCTGCGAGTCTCCTTTTTGTACACAATTTATGTCAATTTGTTTCAGTACTGTAAAGCTCATACCTGCCGAGTTTGTCCGAACGTGACTGATGATCTTAATAGAATTTCCTATTATTATTATTATTATTATTATTATTATTATTATTATTATTATTATTATTATTATTATTATTATTATTATTATTATTATTATTATTATTATTATTATTATTATTATTATTATTATTATTATTATCATCATCATCATCATCATCATCATCATCATCATCATCATTATTATTATTATTATTATATTATTATTATTATTATTATTATTATTATTATTATTATTATTATTATTATTATTGGTAGTAGTAGTAGTAGTAGTAGTAGTAGTAGTAGTAGTAGTAGTAGTAGTAGTAGTAGTAGTGGCAGTAGTATTTGATATGATAAGGTCAAATTTGTAACGTTAATATCAAAGGTGAATTCCATTTTATTACTGCTTATCTGCTATGCTGCTATGTAGAGAAATACGAATAAAATATTTACCTAACGTTCCAAAAAATATCCAACTTTAGAAAACGTTATGTCCTTTATACTCAGTAGTATTAGTAAATTATGATAACCAATTCAGCACTGTTTATAATTAAAGTTTTGAAGATTAGAGAAACCGTTTTATCAACGATTCCAGCTGCATAAATATTACTCCATATAAATTTAAGGTTTACCCTTTGTCACAGAATTTTATAAATCAATTTTTTTTTATTAAATACATTTACTCAGGTTTCTTTTTTTGTGTAGAACGATACCCGAGGATGATTGATGTAAATTTTTATTACTTCGAAACAGTGAGTTCAGTTCGTCCTATGACGCGCAAAGTGCTTTCGATGGAAAAACCTGAATACATGAATTGCACAGACGATGTAAAGCTATATTGTCTGTTTATAAATACCTCACTAAGATTAAATTGACACATTACGGTGCGTTTTGTCAGTTTGCGGCATATTTAGAAACCTGCATATCTCCAGATGTACAGGTATGTGAGTTATTTATTTCCTATGTGTATTGAAAGATATATCTATTGTACTATCACGTTCATTTTCGTGTAACTTCTGTAGCTTCGACTACGCTTCCACTAGTGTAGTTTATTGCTAATATTTTACATTATTGTCTGTGACTTAGCAAGAACTTTAGAAAGTTACATTTATTTAAGAAACGTTTAGTGCAATAAGAATCATACGATTAATCACTTCTGAACCTGTTTATCGTTTTGTAATGCAAGATTGATAATTTATTGTTTATAACTTACTATATATAACGTCATTACGTATTACCATATATATATATATATATATATATATATATATATATATATATATATATATATATATATATATATATATATAGTGTGTGTGATATATATATTTATATATATATGTGTGTGTGTGTGTGATATATATATATATATATATATATATATATATATATATATATAATGTGTGTGTGTGTGTGTGTGTGTCATGTATAGTAGACGGTATCGAAAGTAATTTCAGATGATGATAATGATGGTAGCTGATCCATAGTGATCAGAGCTGACATTGGGACTGACCGTGGCAGCTGTGGAGCTGATCCATAAGGATCAGAGATGACGGTAGTTTTTTAGCTGACCATGGTGATTGGGACTGACCGTGGCAGCTGCGGAGCTGATCCATAAGGATCAGAGATGACGGTAGTTTTTGAGCTGACCATGTTGGTCAGGGTTGATGAAGTACCTGCTAAAGAGCTGACCATGAAGTTTACCATGACGGCTCTTGTGCTGGCATTAGAGACTGTGAAGCTGATGATGGAGCTGGCAACAGAGCTGTTTGGACGGCGGCCGTACAGCCGAGTGAAGTGTGTCTGTTTGGACGGCGGCCGTACAGCCGAGTGAAGTGTGTCGGTTTGGACGGCGGCCGTACAGCCGAGTGAAGTGTTACGGGTCAAGTAGCAGACGATCGGGCGTTCAGACCAAAGTGGTGGGCGCTAATTTGCTTGTCTGACCTAGTAATCAATGTTAGTCGATGACTACCTATAACCGTTGCTTAATTGGCTAGTGTGATGTGGAGGGAGTGTTTGTGTTGCTCCATACATGCAATCATTTAGCTGTGGGCTAATTTTGAGGTCTTGTTTTACCCAGCGTTTAGGAAAGTGAGAGATATCTTGTGATATCTGCCATATTATCATTTTACTATTTGAGAAAATATCAGTTCACTATTCTGAGCGAATACTTCATTTTATTTGAGTAAAATATCAAATCAGTATTTTGGGTGAATACTTTTGTTTTACTATTTGAGTAAAATATCAGTTTACTATTTTGAGTTAACACTTCGTTTGTTTTGCTATTGTGTAAATCATTCTTTTCGTTTTGTGATGTACCGTGAATCGTTCTTGCTTTTTGTCCTTGTAAAGTATAATATTATATATTTGTATTTGTATTTTCTGCATATTAGATTCGTGCGAATTATGTTAATTCGTCATTTTTTGGATCCATATGCGCATATATCAATGATATTTTGTTTCTTGTTTACATCATAAATCATTAAATATTGTATTTTTATTAACATCAACTGTGTTTTGTTTATACACCCTTCAATCCATTTGTTCGCATAATGTGCAGTATATACTTTTATCTCACCTAATTAGAAAAATGCAATGATGATAATTTTCATCTATTTTACTGATTATAGATTCTATATTTCATTGTTACGCACGATAACATTTTTTTTTAAACCGCATATTGTCTGATTTGTTTCACAGGCTAGTGGCCTATATTACAAATAGACATTATTATTATTATTATTATTATTATTATTATTATTATTATTATTATTATTATTATTATTATTATTATTATTATTATTATTATTATTATTATTATTATTATTATTATTATCTACGATTATATTTAATGTCTCCAAAACATTAGTATTTGACTTCACGAGTGGCGTTTAAGCTTCCACAGTTATATTATTATAGCTTTGTAGCACTTTAAAATGTGTGGCCTCATTATTTACTCTTGGTTAGGTCGTAGCCTGTCAACCTTATATATAGAGCATCGACGAATTGGAAGTATTACGGTTTTAGATAACTATTGTGCCATATAAACCAACAATTTTGAATTATGTTGTAAGATTTGCCAAACACTAAAATTAGGCGTAGATAGCTTTACCCGGCATTATGTATAGTGTATCATGGAAAGTTCTATGTATAACAGACGATGTGTTGTTTATTTTTCTATATTGACAATATCAAAGGACATTATTTCAGACGAGATAGAATGTATCATCAGGCAGGAGTAAGAAAATAAATACGGGAAGGAGCTCTGTCTAGGTGTCTCAAAGAAATAGCTGAATATATCAATGGGACGATAATATGTATTGAATCATCAGGAGAAGATTACTCTTTTGCTATCGTCTCTTATATTTATCAATATTATGTTGCTACTAACATTGAATGTTATATTTTGTATCGTTTCCTTCTTAACTATTTTACAATAATTCATTTTTTTTTCGAGCATAACTACTTTTTGTGGATTTTATATACTACAAACCACTAACTTAAAAGCCCAGCAAATAATGATTCATACATTGGTACCCATTCCCAAGTCCACGAATTTAATAAGTTCCTATAAAATAGTGGCGTATTTTATGTTTGCTTTTTAAATTAAATTTTGAATTTTAAGTTTTTGTACTATGACAAATCGTAACAACCTGTAACAAAAGTCAACACTTTTCCCTAGGTCTCTGTGATCATTTGTATTATGTGGCAAGAATATTTCCGTTTGGTGCTTCAAAGTCACACCATCTGATAGGATGCAAATTTGTTATTATTTCCAAATTGTGTTTCGAATAGGGCAAGGAAACCAAAAAAGATAATATC